GACATTGTTCTGGTGTCTTGTACCTTAGCCATCCTGATTACCCATAAGTGTCATTACATGACATCCTTGCATTTCTTCGCGTGGAGAATCTTGAAGGAGAAAGTTCATTTGGCCTAGTTTATGCCAATCAACTCAGAGACTGAGAGATCGAATCGTAACTGCAGCGTATCAAATATCACTAGGACAATGTCTAGCTGCAATTAGAGCAGTCAATGCTAGATGCAATGCTTGCATTGCACTGCAAGAGGCCAGCAGTTTAAACAGTATCTTCACTGAATAGATGAAAACATGAATAAATAAGTGTAAATGAATAAGTGTAAAAAAACGAAAACTTTTTGTTTCTTTTTTACCATTTTTTTTTCCAAAGTGAAGCAGAAACGAGGAAATCTCCAAAGGACTTTTTCTCTTAATTTATCGGCCCCGCGCTCCCGAAGTTTTGACATTAAATTGGGGACATCCTGTATACATACAAAATAGTTGTAATCTCTTGAATTTACAGACATATGATGAACAAATCTACAACATTACGCGTGCGCTAAAAGTTTTCGCTCGAATCTTAAAATTTTGCATATTCTGCATTGAAAGAACTCGTATTTTTTTCCTACTAGCTAAGAACAAATTTGTATATTTAAAATAAATTTGAATATTTTTGCATCTTGCGTGTTTAATTGCATTATACATTGTATCGAATACATTTATATTAGACATTCTTTGCACCAAAGTCTGATACATTATAATAAATGTAGATACATTAAAAGAAAAAATAAATGTCTCACACAGACTCTAGCTGTGGTTATAGAATTTGGTTTGTTAAACATTCATTATTATTGTTATACAGAGTTGCACATTTTAAGAAAATGTTTCCAAATGTGATAAAATTATTAAATCTTTTATAATATATTTCTTAATTGTACAGGGTGGCATATTTTAAGTAACGCATTGATTTTTTTCAAAAATAAAGGCTTGTACCGAAAACGTTTCAATACTGTAAGCATTTTTCCATTGTCAGAAAAATGGTGATGTATTAATATATTATTCGTGCGGATCGGGAACAATTTTACAAAATTTTGCACAAATTTGTAACATTGATATACATATATGTATGTTAACTGAACGCTACTTTACCATGATAAAGGAGTTACTTTGCTCAAATGTTTTTCTAGCACTATCGATCAGGCTTGCTACGGATTTATTGGTACACTGGTGAAAAGCTCAATCTTTCAGTGTCGATAATGCTCTCATTATTCCTGCCTCCTTGTCGTGAATATAAAAAACTTTATCAAAAGTCCGGTGGCGGACGAGGCCGCGTTTGAAAAGGAAAAATTCTTTGACACAAATTTAAAAATATTTTCGGGCAACCGAGCGGGTTGCAGGTCGCCGAATGCGCCTTCATCTCGGGTGAAAAACGGGTCAAGAAAGACTAGCAAGTTAGATCAAAGGACACGAGCACAAAGCTAATATCTCGAATGCATATCGTGCTCATGCCTCCGGCAACGTTTCCAGGAAATCGCGAACGGAAATTTCATCGTCGCGAAATGCGAACAATATTCTCCGACATCGTTGCAGGCCTGGTGTAAGAGCCCCCGTATGCCAGAATGTACGCACCTCGTCTTATATAACTACGTGTGTTGTGTAATTAATTACACATTTCATAAATTCATAATCACGCACCGTCGAGAAGCGATCGCGGCAGGAAACCATGCAAATTCTTGAACAATTAATCAATGGTAATTAGTGCTTTGGCTCTGTAGTTCCAAACTTTGACACCCGATATTTCGACTTGAATTTCACATGGTAATTAGAAGGATCCGAGGGGATTCTATCGCTGAAGTTTAAGTTACAATTTATTGATTGTTATCAAAAAAGCTCTCTCCTGGTGAAATATTAAATTTTCTATCTCCAACGAGAGATATTATTATTTATATTGTTTTAGGCGGAAGAATAACGAGTCAGGTCGCTATAGCTTTCGACATATCTCGCGCTCCTCCCACATCTTTACACCGATTTCTTCCTCGTACCTTTTCTATATTTTACGTTGGGAGTTGGCGCAACTCCAAGCTTCAGCTTCTACATTTAAACTTTTTACATTCGGTCCCCTTTTTACAAATTTCGTGGCATTTCAGCCCGGATGTCAGCTTTGAAGCTATCATTCCCCCGAACCCTCATCCGTCCGGAATAACGGCGAGGCCGCGAATGTGCGCGATCGTTAACGATGTAGTCTGTCAACAAAGGTCGGCCAACGAGGCGGCTTTCCTCATGAGCATCTTCTAATGAATTCACCCCGCCGATTATACCGCCGTTCGCCGTAAGCGCCGGCTCTGAAAAATAGACGTTAAATCAAAGCAGTCGTTATGAGGTCGAACGAGGTTTAACGGTTGCTCGCTCAAAGCCTCGGCGCCGCGCCGCATCGTAGGTGCGGATTCTCGTTAAGAGGCTTTCCACTGGACTTTAACTACCCTCGCGCCACGATTGCCCGTGCACAAACATTTGTACGCGTGGGATATAGATTTTTTTTCATTCGGTATCTCCTTTATGGCGGTAAAATAGATGATGGTCTTACGGGGGTCCGCGTGACATGGACGGATAACCATCTCGCGCTTCCTGCTTCTCTCTAACCATCGGGAGAAATAAAATTATTCCGACAAGATGACGCATCCAATGTAACGTGGCCACAAGCCCCGTGCATGGCCGGCAACATTCCGTAAGTTTTCATGGATGAAAAGTGATGCATATGGTGGAAAGTACTTTTTAGCCGTGTCTGCGGGTATCTTGAGCGCAGTGAAACGTTTGCATGCCAGGGTCGATAGGCATGACGTGGATACGAAATGCGCTGGAGAAAGAAAGTTTTTCTGCGTCTGCAATACTTGCTTCCAGTTCAAACGGTAATAGAATGTGTGGAATTTTACGTGTACGCGATAACTAACAATGGACGTGGATTAATTTAAGAATACGCGTGTAATATTAAACGTGTATTATTAAAATTAATAAAATATCGAAGAATATAATATGCGCACGTGATATGTATCGCGTTTTAATATTTTTATTTAATGACGTAATAAATATCTCGTTGAATGTATTTGATCTATTGCAACTATGATTGAGATATATGCGGTAATTATGTATTTCAATATTTATAATTCAACGTAGAAATATCCTGTTAAATATTTTTCGATGAATAAAAATGGAAATTTTGCGATATCAAACATTGTGAAAATTCTATTTTCTTTATTGTGAACGCGTTTGTTTTCTTTATACTATTGTATTGTATCATTGAAATTATAGGATTTATATAAATATTTGAAGTAAGGTGAATTGTTACATTAGTTTCTCTCGAAAGTATGTTAATATTATTTTTTCTATTTGCGCATGGGTAAGCGTAATTGAAATTTAAAACGTTACCGTGAACCGGTGTTGGAACATTGATACGGATATGTTTCCTATAAAAGGAGAATTATTCTTTTCAGTTCGATGTATACCTTCACAAAGGACAGATTTTATATTTATGAATCCTTCAGATTGTTTTCAAGTACTCTATTGTAAATACTTTTGATTTGGTTATTTATTGTACGCTGCTGCAAAGGCTATTAATTATAAGTCATTTAGTAATTAAATTAAATTTTATAGCTGCAGGCAGCGTTTTAAAAGTGAAATATGAAACTGGGTTTTGACTCATATTCATGCGCAGGCGAGCTCATATTGTAAGGAAGTTCGACTTCATAAAAGCCATCGTGATTTAATGCCAATTTCTCGGTGCATCTAACGGTGGTTACCTCGAGAATAGTCGATGACCTCCAGTTCCGAAAAGTTGTTTTAGCGTCCGTGAGAAGGAACTGCATTCGTTACATTGCACCAAAAATTATTGATGATAGTAAATGATGGATGTAAAATTATTGTTCTCGGTCATAAATAACGTCGTAAAATATTTGCATGTAATTCCGATATTGTTGATTAACTCAATTTATTTGCCTCTAAAAGGATACAGTTATATTAAGGCCCGGTTTTTCATTTTTGTATTAATTGTTAACTAGAAGTTAGTCGACTCTCCATCTTTTTCTACGTTATTATCTACACTGATAAAAAATATCTTAATAAAAAAAAATTTACTGTACTCCAGAAAATTATTCATTAGGTAGTTCCTAATAGCTTATTAACTTAAATTTAAAAAATAATAAATAAATTATAACATGCATTTCTTTAATTTAAGTATTTATTAAATATCAAACAGTGGATAATTTTAAATTTAAAAAATTTTACTTTAATTCAATAAAATGTTTACTAAGATATATTGAAAGTTTTACAGCGAAGAAAATTGGATTTCTTCTTTGACAAAAACAATGATTTCATTTAATAAATAGTATTCTCTATTTCATGAAATCTTTAGTTGAATATAGAAAATGTAATAATTTAAATTAATTTACTTAATATAATACACAGATTTAATTGAAATTTGATATTTTTAAAATAGAATAAATATTTACTTTAGTAAAAAGAAATAATTGTAAGTAAATCTATTTATTTAGTTTTAAAAAATGTTTTTGTCGGTATAATTGTAAGAAGAAACAGAGAATCGACTAAGCTCTGGTACAATTATTTAGAAAATGAAAAACCGAGTCTACGTTGAAACTTAATAGAAGAGACGAAATGTAATACAGCAAACGTAGTAGAAAAGGCTTACAATAAAAACTGATAATAATCCTCGTCTAAACGCGTATCAAACTAATTGGATAAATTATATATTTACACAACCGTAAAATAAATTTCATGCACAAATTATTGAATTAATTAGTAATTTCTTGCTTCAATTACATAGTTTACTCGACTAAGCTGGTATTAAATACGGCAAATTTAGTTTTGACGTTTATTCATTATCGTTACTGCAATACCACAGCTCTACAGACCTTTTTTTATTAGCGAATCGATAAATCTGCGCATTTCTTTATTTATAGGTAAAATCGAAAGTTTGATTGTGGAAATAATAATTAAGAATAAATCTGTTTCAGAGTATCCGGCAGCAGTGACGGCGGAAATAGTCGATGTTAACGTGAACTCCTTGGACGGCACGACGGGAAAGCCATTAGATGTCGATCTGCCACCAACTCTGCCGATGACCTTCGGCACGGAAAATTCAACATCAGTTTCGGCGCAATCAGGATCCACAGCCCTGATGCCCTGTGTTGTCCACAATCTAGGAGAGGGCACGGTAAGCACGCTTGTTGAAACACGTAGTCCGTTGATTGATGCGTGAATTCGATATACAATTAAATGGATGTGGCCAGTGCTCCATTATCCCATAAATGTCGATAAAATAAAACCTGCTACATTACTATATTACACGTATACAATATACATGATACGTATTACGGTCATATTCAATACCTGGTCCTGCATTTTTATCATTATTTTTCTCGTCTATACAAATCACTGGGTCTTCGGCTGTATGTAGAGGAAAGTCCCCTATTATGAGAGAGGCTTCTAATATGAGATAGCAGGAGATTCTGCTAAATTAATAGGCATTGTTTGTTGGTTTCACTTGATTCACCATAAATTTTTTTGTGGTGAAAGTGGACAAAAACATTTGTCGCTTTTACAGTGAAATCTGTTTAATGGAAAACTGATTGTTTAATCGTGTAATTGTTGCGAAAAAAGATTTGTGATTGAATGTGGTTGTTGAAACGCTATCTCATATTAGAAACCTAACTTATAATAGAGAACTTTTCTCTACTACCACATACTTCTATAGAAGCTGTGTGAACTGCGGTCTGAAACTCATCGATGTATGGTATACAGGGTGTTACGGATAAAGTGTCCATCCGCTCGGGATACCTATACAGATCTAGGGGGTTAAACTGAAAAGAAAAGTTACCATTTTGTCAAATTCCCGATAGTTATGGAGTAATTAATTAAAACGTCTGAGCGGATAAGCGCGAGGAAAGCGGTAAGCCGGACTCGGCGGATATTAAATGACTTATAGCGAATTCGGCAGCTTGCACTAGTGCGCACTGAGTGCACGCCAAGCCTTGTTCAGAGTCTACTCTTATATTTATAGTCATCTCAAGTGTGCGTCCAAAAACTATTTAGCCAAAAGGATCATCCGTACGAATGCTATACAGATCGTTTTACTGGCTAAGAAGTATTTTGGAAAGTTTTTCAGACGATTCTTAAATACAGGAATTGACTGTAAACGAGCCTTGTATAGTCTTGTAGCGATGAGGGACGAGCGGTGGGCATCACCCGATGCTCGCCGCTCGTTGCGTGCAAACTATTTTCCGATGCGTCGCTCCACCTCTCGCTATCGAACGCCCACCGTTGCTACGAGACTAAACAATTAAGGCATTTAACGTGCTTACCGAGCCCGGCCTACCGCTTCCCGTGCGTTCATTCGCCCAGACGTTTTTATTCGTCACTCGAAAACTATGGCGAATTTCTTCAAAATGGTACATAACTTTCCTTTTCAGTTTAGCCCGCTCTACCTGTACACGAGCGGGTGGACACCTTATCCATAAAACACCGTAGATAGGAGTGAAGATTATGAAAATGTAAATCCTAGTAAAACTGAGGTCCAGGCATTAATGAGTAGTAAGACTGTGCATATATAAAATTTACCGGATTAAACATTTACAGTTTTTACTTGTTTTTCGAGAAAATTCTAGAAATCTTCTGGAAAAGGATTTCTTAATTTCTCATTTCGTTAATACTGCATATGATAATCGAACGATTAATAGTTTCAGTCGGATAGATACAGCATAACCGTATGGCCACCAATATTCTGTAATTAGCACAAACGAGCTTTCTCTGTAACCGGTATTATCGTCGCAGAGCTATATTCATTAATTAGACCCGATTTTGTAATAATCAGTGTCATCGTACGATAGAAAATCGAAATTTCATTTAAAACACAAATAATATGAATGTGTTGACGTTAATTAATGAAAATAGATGAAATACCATATGCTGACTAGTAGCATTTAATTTCATAACGTGAGTTTGCAGGCGGTAGAGGTGAATTTATGGTAAATACACTGGCAATAAAAGAACGTTTTATTTCTTACGTAAATTATTAGTTTATCAGTTACTTGAATATTCGGGTATCAGCCGCTTTTCACTTTTTCACTTTTACGCGAAAATATTGCGAGAGTGTCATCAACATCGATGGAACAGTTAGGGTATCGGTAGTCAAGCGTCGTTCGACGATATCGCTGCAAAGTCCTGGCGACATAGAATCACAATTAGGTCAATAGCGATGCAGGAGTAAATTCAGCACCGATGTTAGGGACGAGCTGATGCTTTCATTCTTGATGCTTTGCACTCGGCGCGGGATTTGATATAAATCGTTTAACATTTTTTCTCGAGAGTTGCCAACGGCTGCATAATTAAAGAAAGAGTGTAAGCTTACTGTCAATGATATTAAAATTCCATGACCTCTTCGAATGGGGTCCACCCGATGGATCGCTTCACCGCGCGCCATTGCACGTTCCTTTCTTAGTTGATCCCGAGACAAAGAAGCGTTACGCTTATTTGCACCTTAATTAGGTATGCAGGACGAGCAGGAGCGACGTCCTCGCAATTGTACAAAGTAAAAGCATTAGTGTCATCTAATTTCGGCACGACAAGATAACAGTGGGAACAAACAAGATTTGGGGCCGAGAAATTTTCAACTTCGCTGCTCCGTTTCACGAGTCTTTAACAGCAGAATGACAAATTTCTCTAGAATCGGTGATAGCGCTAAGCAAATCACTTTGCCCGATTTTGCAGCTGAGAAAGACGCGCAACAACGAACGGTATAAGCTTCGCGGAGAGATAGTTTACAGAAAATTAAGTGCACGTTTTTTTGTGCCGAGATGACCCACATGTATGTATAAGTTATGACTTTCGCGGGAACGTACATTGTTTGTCCCTTTATCCTGACATATTGTTCTTTCATTTTGTATCCATATTGTATCTCAGTTCTTATGCTTTTGTTCTTATATTATTATCTTTCTACTTATGTTATTTAATGTATTTAATTTAAAAGTAATTAATACAGTTAATTAATTATAATAAAATTATAATTACATATAATAAAACTGTATAAATACAAAAATAATCTAATTACTTAATAAAAACATTAAAAAATATTTAACATATATATATTATTTAATGCTTCTCATGACTGCACTTTTAAAAAGTACGCATTATGTACATATTATTCACGCAGTACATTAAAAAATCCGTTAATTATTTTGTAGAAAATAAAAAAAACATAGATGAACAAGTAAATAAAATATAACCTCAGAAATATTTAACGCGTCCTATTACAGTTTATAATGTAACGTTTACTGACTAAATTGATTTTGCTTTCACAAATGTTGCTTATTTCTTCGCGACGTTACATTTGTACAAATTATGAGATGTGGTTATAGTAGAGGAAAGTTCTCTATTATGAGATAGGTTTTGCATTTGTAGAGA